CCTAAGCAAGTGCTCCGGATTCTCAGCCAGCTGGCACTGGTGTCTAGGTTAAAGTTGGCTCAGGCAGCTCTCCATGCACTGTGTTCTTATCACCCATTTGGAATGTAGACAGGGATTAAGTAATTTTTATGATTAAGAATGGGATGCTGGACTGACCAAACCTTGCTTAATGCCAGCAAAGTGTATCCCAGCAGCAGGTTCAAGCAAACACAAACATGAACTAAAGATGTTGAGTCTCCTGATACCATCCTATTTTGTGTTAATCACTCCACAGGCTGGCAGTTTTCTATAGTCCAAGCACCCTGCTTGCATTTTTAGTTCTGTCATCTCTGGGGTTGTATGGCATTTTGGAGATGTATGTAATATGAAGTATTATTGCTTTTATATTCATATTTACCCAGGATGTATTGCTTGAGTCCTTTTTTGTTGTTCAGTATGAGGGGCTATGTCATAACACAGTGCACTGTGACATTAGCCCTGGATTTCCATTATGTGCTGTAAAGTATACATTATTTCCAATGTTACCAGGCTGTCATTGTGTCTTCCACTCTGTTTGATATTTTTTGTCACATATCTGATTTCTGTCAGAGGATAATGTTATATTATCCAGGAGATGACAGCTCCAGCACATTCAGCCAGCTATTATAATATGTCTTACTTTAGATTTACTGTGGCTTTGTTTTCAGTCACTCTTCTTCACCACAGCCACAGCTCTAGCTGCTTTGAAATGGAGCAAGCCTTAACTATGTTTAAACAAGGCTCTTGCTGGCCTGTTGTTAAAAAGGATTCTTTGGTCTGTTCAGATGGGGCCCAATTAGGGTATAAACCACTTCATACAAAGGTGTGCTAGAACGTTTCAGTGTGCTACTGCTTAGACTCTGAGGCTTGCCACGGTTCTAGTCCCAGCAGTGCCTTCTGTTGGGGAGTTAACCACAGGATCATAGGTGACACATAGGGGGAATACAGGGGGAGGGGCATGTGCCCCCCCCGAAAGCAAGTTGGTAGGGGGGCATGGACAGTGCTTGCACCTCCCCTAAAATTGGCTCCACCGCCACTGTACCACATACAAAAGTGCCAGCACTTCTGCTGCTGCCATGATGCTGGCACACTCAGAGACTGCCCCCACCCCTGATTGCCAGCTGGCCGCTGGTGGACTCCCACCCCAGTCATGTTTTGCTTGTGCCCCCCACCAGACATGGGAGGCACCAGTCGCCCATGCACAGGATTATTGTTTTATGCTTTTATAAATCAAATGGTTACAGTATAAAGTAAAAAACTGTTTGCCCTTCTCTGAGGCCCTAGGAGCAAAGCAGTAGCCTAGCAGCTGAGCGTGGGGATGGAGCCATTCTGCACCTTTCCCAGCTCTAGATAGTTTTGTCACTTGGGGGACAGCAGTCAGCAGTTCACTTCGCCTCCAAAGCATCTTGCAGGATAGATACACATGCATAAGATTCAAGGGTTTAGTTCAGGGGTGTCCAACCTTTTTGAATGTGGGGCCAGATCATGAACTTTTTATCAACCAGTGGGCCGGTGATCCATATTCAAACACCCTCTGTCCTGGGCCAGAGAGACCCTGCCTGTGGAGCCCTACCACACCTGCCTGTTACTGCAAGGTTCACGGTAGCTGCTGGTGGGCAGGGGCAGGAGGGACCCATTCTGCATCCAGCCAGCTATTGTCCCAGAGACTGAAAGGGAGAAATAAATAGCTCCACATCCCCATGCCCCAAGCAGCACAGCCCCACAAGCCGGCGCTGCCCAAGGGGGGCCGGAGCGAGGCGGCCGCTGCACTGCAGTCCCTCACCCGCCCACCCACATGGCCCCACTCACCATGGTGCCCAGCTGCCCACACACGCAGCCCCAGTGGCCTCAGCGCTGCGAGCCCAGAGCACGGGGTCCGGCAGATACCGGCTCCCACCGCCTCGTCCCGCAGAGGTTACGCCAGGACCCCGCCTGCTGAGGCCCCCCTGGGGCTGCCCTACTGACTGCCTGTGCCAGGCACCGCGCCCCATTCCCACCCCATGGCCACCTAGCCCAGCAAGTCCCAGGAGGCGGGTGGGACACTGGGGGCAAGGGGCCGAGCCAGAGAGAAGTAAAAGCAAGCGTTGTCCCCACCTCGTCCCATCAGGCGCGGCTGGGGCAGCCCCATGCCACGCAGCCCTCAGGGCGGCGGCGCTGGGAACCGGCTCACGTGACGAGCCTGGCCCCACAGGGGTGAGCAGCTCCCCTCCCCTCCCCCACCACCCTGTCCCGAGCGAGGGAACTCGGGCCTCAGAAAATGGCTTGGCAGGCTGCGGGATATATGTTGGACAAGCCTGGTTTAGTCATTTCCCCAGTTCGCCCACAAATCTCCCTTCCAAGCCTGCCTTTCTTCAGTTTGTGTCCAATGGCCCATGGAGGTATACAGAACCCCACTGCTGGGAAGGACTTATTGGCTTGCTGTTACCCCCCAAAATTCCTCCCACAGTTGTACTGCAGGTCTCAAAAGAAACACAATTCCTTACAGTTGGGCCTTCTGGACTTCTCTGAATTGTGTCCAACTTGAGAAATTTTTTAATGGTGATATGTGAGACCATTTATATAACTGACAGGGGAAGCATGTGGGAAGTCTGATAGTAAGGGGCCTCAAAAGTCCCCTGCAGGTCCTTATGTGTTGGCCCAGATATAGAACTGAGCACAGCAAAGAACGTTAACATGCACATGACACAATAGTTCCCAAAATAAGATGCAACATGCAAGGTAGAATTTAGACACAGAGGGAAAAAGACATCGTGAAGGCCACAATCTCAGGCATCACAGTACGGCATATATATTCACTCTGGAAATCACAACTACACTAGAGCCTGAGAAATTGGGACCAATGATGACTCAGACTTTCGTACGGCACCTCAACACAACTCCATTGTGTGATTGGAATGAGGAACAGCTTCAAAACATTTCATTTACAACATCAGTTTCAAACCAGCCTAAAATTATAGCTTTAAATATATAGAAATATTGGATTACAATTTAATACTATTAATGATAAATGTCATCCAGTATCCCCTTATTTTTATTTTCATTATATATTCTATGCTATGGTAGATTGCAAGAGAGTATGATATGTTCTGGTCATATATAGAAATTGTCAATAGATTATTTAATTGCATGTAGTTTTCCTCACATAGTGAAATGTATATAGGGCAAAATCTAGCTTGCTTTATTCAGGTAATGGGAATGTCAGTAGGAGTAAGGCACACAGAATTTGGCCTCATTAGGCACTTTTGTCTCTGCACATCATGAATTTTCACAAATGAAAGAGCACTTAAAATATCATGAAACATACAAGCCCAGGGCTGGTTGTGATGACTTCAAAGATTTTTTGTAACAACTGTGTCTTGATTTTGTGCCTGCAGTTTGCATCTACGTCAACAAACAGGCGAACATGGGGCCATACCTTGACAGAAAAAAGGTGCGACAGCTTCCAGATCACTTTGGGCCTGAAAGACCTTCCATGGTCCTACAGCAAGTAGTTCAGGCCTGCATTGACTCCTCACTTCAGCAAAAGACCGTCTTCTCACTTGTCAAGCAGGGCTATGGAGCTGAAATGGTGTCAGGTAAAACTCATTTGAGTCCCGTTTCTCTTTTTGGGGTTTTTTGTTGTTCTCCCGCCCTGGCGGGGGGTCGGGCTAGAAGATCTACTAGGTCCCTTCCGACCCTTAATCTATGAATTAAAGAAAGGTTTTGCGATAAATCCAGAAGTGCTCTAAATCTTAACCCGTCCTTCAAACCTGAAGGTTGTACCAGAATTATTCAGATCACTGAGCCAGGGACCAATTGTTACATCATTCACACCCTTTTAAGTTAAGAGTAACTCTGTTGAAGTTGAAGGAATTGCACTGGTATGAAATTAGAATTGGGCCCCAGGAGTCCAGTATATTGAGAGAGGCTGTTGTTAGTCAGAATGCCTTAATGGATTACACAGCCAAGTGCCTGTTACTGGCAGTCATCATGTACTCTGATATGTGCCTTGTTTACAGCAGCAAACCATCTAGTAAAAATCAAATATCATTAAAAGCATTTTCTGCCTCACGTTTTAAATGAGTGTTCCTTTGTTTTCTCACTCCCCCACCTTTTTCAAAGTTAGCTTTGTATTAAAAGATGGGAAAGGAAACAGCAGAAAACATTAACACAAATGTTAATGTGGGCCGTTTTAAGTTTAAGAGAACAATGATATGTGCCATTACCAACTAGCTTAAAATGGAAGTTATATGTGTGGGCCAAATGCTACTTGTTGACTTTAGCAGTATGTTAGTGTCCTGTATGTAACAGAGCAGCTCTCTTGGCTACACCCATAGAAACCCACTGAAAATAATGGGATTGTCTGGGAAAGATTTTTAACTTCAAGTCTTGGGCAGCTGGAACCAAGATTACTGTGGTGGCTCCCACAAAGTAAACCTGGATAACTTTTTATAAAGCAGGACAGTTTTGTTTTATGAAATGATTTTAGCACAAGGGCATACTATGGAATCAATAATTTTCAAATGAGCTTATGAGGATGAATGGGATGTAAGCAGACAGTGAGATGCAAACTGTCCATGGACCAATCAGACGAGCCCTACAGGGATCAAATTAGCTTTTGCAATGTCACTGGGACCCCTTGCATTGTGGGACCCAGAGTTTTGCCCTTCCTTTTCTTTCCTTTTGGGGCATTCTAGTTTCATTTATGACTTCCTTGAGCAAGGCATCAGACATACTCAGAAAACTATTCTGTTTCATTCCTGAAGACATGCAAATCTGTTCTAACCAATGCAGAGTAGCATGAGGTTTCATGCCCATGTAGTCTTCTCTCGATGAATACATATAGTTTACATTAATGTTGGGAGAGAACTAGAAGCTCTGATGGTTAACATTTTTTTTTCTAATTTTTAGCCTTAATTTGTTTTTGGCCAAATTATTCATATTTCTTCTTGTGCCAACATTGTTCTTTAGCTTAAAGAGCTCTTTTGTGTTTTTAACCTCAAAGTATTTCTTCAGAACAACCACATTCCCTCAGTCTTCACTTCGTTAGGCTAAACAAGCTAAGCTCTTTTAGTCTCCCTTGGAAGTTAGGTTTTCTGTTCTGTTGATTACACCAGTAGCCCTTTTCTGCACTCATTCCAGAATTGCACATTGACTTCTAGATCAGGGCCTTGTACAATGGCATTCATTAGTCTCTGTTTCTACTGGAAATACTTTGCCTGATACATCCATATCATAAATATGACTCACAAGTATCCCATGATTGACTAATATACCCAAGTCTGGGTATGTCTACACAAGACGCTTTACTGTGTGGTAGGCTTATCTATTGCACAGTAAAGCATCACTGTCTACACATGTGCATATTTACTGTGCAGTAAATTAGGCTACTGTGCAGTTAGTTACTATCCATAAATACAGGTAGTAAACAGGTAGTAGCACATGTGTAGATGCTGACTGAGAGCAAATTTGTGACCACAGAGGCCACAGGGGATGGGGAACTTACCTGGAACTGCTCAGCTCCCAGCTCCCCTCAGGACCTGGGAGATGAACAGTGCCAGGGTGCGGTAGCTCTCTGCCCTCCCAGCCCATACTGGTGCTGCTCAGCTCCCGGTTCCCCACAGGAGCTGGAAGCCAAGCAGCACTGGGATTTGGGAGCTCTCTGTTTCCCCGCCCAGCACAGGGGTGGCCGGGAACTATCCCATTCTGGGGAAGATCCCAGCCAGCTCTGGGCTGGGCAGAAATTTTCCCTCATGGCCCAGGGCTGAATGGGACCTGCCCCTGTGCATGGCACAGCCCAGAGCTGGCTGGGACCTGCACCAGGATGAGACAGTTCCCAGCCAGCCCCAGGCTGTATTGGGAAGCCTCTTTAGGCACAGGGCTTGTCCTCATGTGCACAGGGTGAGAGGTCTGCAGCAGCAGTTGTCTCCCAGCCCTGTGTGCATCAGGACCCCTCCCAATGCAGCTGGCAGAGCTCTCCTGGCCCTGTGAGCATCAGGACCAGCCCCATGCTCCCTGCCAGCCCCTAGGCTAGCACCCAGGGGGAACCTGGAGCTCCTCTTGGCTGCTGCAGGGAGGTAGGGCAAGGTGGGAGCAGCCCTGTACCAGGCTGCTACTATTGGGAGCAAATCTGCTCCTGGTTAGGCTTACTGCACAGTACTTTTACAAGTATACCCCTGTTGCAGTTATCCTATTTGCTGCCATTATTCTTTCCTTCAAAATTGTTCTAATAGCCCTGTTTTATACTGAGATTAGAGTTATAGGGTCTGCTATTATCTGGGTTGTGTTTTCCCCTTCTTAAATATAGGTCTTATGTTGACTATCCTCTAGTCCAGTGATTCTCAACCAGGGTGATGTGGTACCCTGGGGTGCCATGGAATCTGTTTAATGGTGCTTTGAGGTGCCATGCAATATTAGCACTGCTAGGCGTGCAAGATAAATCCAGAGATTTCAAAAAGGTATCAATAGGGTCAAAAACATTTTGACCTACTGGTATCTGAGTTCTTTGCAACAGAAAAATTGCTCTGTTATTTTTTTCCTAGTCAAACAATGAGTGAAAGTTCATAGCTGGGGTGCCTTGAGAATAATAAGGAGTGCCTTGACTGTAAAAAGTGTGAGAACTACTGCTGTAGTTTAGTTTAGTTTAGTTTAGTTTAGTTTAGTTTAGTTTAGTTTAGTGCATCCTCAGTTTGGTAAATTTGTTATAAATTCTTGCTACTAAACTTGCAGTGTCATTTGCCAAGTTTTCTGTGTTCTGACATAAAGAGGATCCGCTTCACCTGACTGGAGCTTCTTCAGCTCTTTGGGTTTTGCTTTAACCTCACATGTTGTTATTGTATAAAATATCTTAAGCAGCAGCCATGAACATTGCACAGTATTATTTTCCTACTCTACAAAGTCATCTCAGACCAGTTTGCTCCTGTGCATTTGTGTGCTCATTGAATTGCTCTTTCTTACTTTTCAGTTTCTGCCTCTTTTGATGGAAAGCAGCATCTCCTGAGCCTGCCAGTTGTGAACAGCATTGGGTATGTCCTGCGCTTCCTCAAAAAACTCTGCCGCAGCCTATTGTGTGAGAATCTCTTCAGCAATCAGTCTTTCGCACAATACAGCAGCACTTCTGAACATCCAAAGGAGTATGAGAGTAGAAGGATGGAGTCAGGTAGGTTTGGATTTAACTGCTGCCAAAGATTTCACAAGGGGCCAATGAACATGACTCTATATAATTTAGGTTTGATTCGGGACTGTTCCAGAAAAGTCATAAGAGTCAGCAAATGAGTTTAATTCTAATATGCCCATTTACCTATGAGGTCTATCAGGGATGGATAAAAGGTAGGCTGATGGACAGCAGGAACCACTATTATTCTATATTAAGTACTTACTTTTTAACCTTATTTTTAAAACAATGCCACCAGTGACTTGTGTTTCCTGAGTCTGTTCATACTGATCTTCCCCAGAAGCACAGTGCGGGAAAAATGTACCCTGGGCAGTCTCCCCCAGCCTCCTCCCCCCTCCTCACCTCCCTCCCTTGAAGAGCAGCAAGCAGCATCCAGTGCAAGGAGTTCTGGGACCCTTAGTTCTCTAGAGTGGCAGTGCAGTTTACTGCTGCTGGGGACTTTCACCCCATTTTTTGCCACCATGTCCAGAGGGAGGAAAATTGATGAACATAGGGCACAACATAGAGCAGTTCTCCCTTCAGCAGCAGTGAACTCCACTACTGGTCTGCATAATTCCCAGAAAGTCTCATGCTTTGTTACATACATTGCCTGCCCCAGGTCCTTTCTGCAGCCAAGCAAGTAGCAGGCAGGCAGTAGCCCTGGGGTCAAATGCCCTGTCCTTGTCTTTCTGGTGCTCCTCCTACTAAGCAGCACCCAGGGCATATGCCCTGCTTGCCCACCCAGTTTGCTACTAGTTTTCCCTCACCCATTACCACTTACTGGTCTTGTTGCTTCTTGTCATCAGTTAAATGTCTGACTCTTTGGGTAGTGACCGTGTTTGACTGTGTTCGTAAATAGCGACTGGTAGATGGAGCCCTGATTGTGGCTTGTGCCTCTAGGGGTTACCACAATGGAAATAAATATTACATGTGAATATGTACTGATGGTTTTTTTTTCATGCACTTTCTTGTCTTCTGCTTGATCCATACAACGTGGCATACCCACCACCGCATAACAGAAGAAGCAGGGCTACACTATTACTTGTAGGAGTGCAAAGGATATCTGATGTGGACATAAATTCATTAGGATGTTCTGGATCCATAATTCCCATTGAGCCCCACTTCACAGATAGTAGTAATGATAGTGGGTATAGTATAGACAGGGCCTAGCTGACTGCTGTACAGTGTAACCTAGCTCTGGTACTGCCCCTAGGAGGCACAGGTCCTAATGATGTCAAGTCAAAAATGAAATCCTTAGCTCATTTGTGTCAGTGGGAGTTCTTACATGGGCTTAAAGCTGAAGGGGGCTAGAGTTTTACCAGTGTATCACAATATGGTTATGATTAAAGTTACTTCTTGTTTGAGAATACAAGCTTTACACCTCCCTCTGGAACCAAATGTGGGATATCCATTCCTTAAGTAGTAGATGACTTTCATAAGGCCAGGAAAGAAAGTTATTCTATACATGACTTGTGATAGCTTTTACACAATCCAGGTTCCTATCTAGTGTAAATCCAAAGTGACACTGTTAACTTGAATAGACTCATTTTGGATTACGTAGCAGTAGGCAGTGGATATGTTTGCATCCCTTTTAAATATTACTGCTTCTTTACATGGCAAAATAGCCCATAAACACCATGAAGCTGAAGCTATCCTGCTTCTGGTACCTGAGCTAATGCATTTACAGCTAGCTTAGGTACCCCTACAATACAATATAGTTTGCAGAGATCAGAATTTCAATTTTGGATCTCCCAGGGAACATAAATTAAGTCAGATTTGCAGTGGTTTTAAATGTTTTGTGTTGTTTTGTTATCTGTCAAGAAATAACAGCATGATCAGGGCTGTAAAAGATGGCAGGGATTCTGTGCCAAATGCTTTAATCTCTGAACCAGACAGAGTTCAAACAGAACGCCCAGTGGAAGCCAAAGATTCAAGGAGCACAGGTTCAGTATGCGCATGTACCTGTTATACCTGATGGTTGCTAGCTTTGCAGATGCAGTGTTATGGGAAGATTTGAAAAAAAGAAGGGTAGTTAATATGTGTTCAAGGAAAGAATGGGAATTTTATTTGTAAGCATCAACCTACAAGAAGGTACAAAAGCAAGGCCTTGAACCTGTAGTTCTTTAAGTATCTCACCTTGCTTAAAATTATTTCACCTGATTTTCATTAAGAAGCACATCGGTGCAATGGATGAGTATTTTTTCATTATTACGTGTATACAATCCCCATTGCATTAATACTTTATGGCCTACCATTATGAGTTTTTAATCACTTGTTTACCCGGAAGGACCTCCCCCTGTGTGCTTTATGTGCCAAGACAAGTGGGGACACTCCAGGAAAACCAAACAAAGCAACCACCTCCTCCTAAAGCCACATATTATGAAGCAAGAGAAATAGGATACTAAGTTTTAAAACTGTCTTTTTTAACATATAGTAGGGCATTTGTGGCAACCTCAGTGTATCTGTAAGACCTAGAGATACACAAAGCTCTTAGTTCAAAGGCAATATCTTTTATTAGACCAACTAAATAGCAGCAAGAACAACAAAAGGGGGAAAAAAAAACACCCCACAAACTTTCAGGCACATACACCCTTCATCAGGCTGAGGAGAATTCAAAGATTGTAAGAGTCCTCCAAGGCATAAAATAAGCTTCATTTTACACAAGGGGAGATAGAAGCTGGAAGCATATTCCCCTGGGAATACGAGTCTCCTTGGGTGAGTGTTACTCTGTAATGTGCAGATTAGGCAGTCTTCTTCCCTGGAGGTGTCTGATGTCAGAGGCAGCCAACAATGTGAAAAAAGAAGTCCTCTCTTCTTTAGCAACGAATTTTATTTTTTATAAATGGCCAAAATAAATATCTTACATGTTTCAGGGATCTATTCTCTAGCTGTGTTAGTCTGAGGAAAAAGAGATACACAGCCAGTGTTATAAAGTCTCTTATGCTGTCCTCTGTGACACCACATCAGTGACCAAAGCAAGGACAGGATCTGGGGCACCAGCTTAGGATTCCTTGTGCCACATTCAAATCAGATGCACATGGTGCAGCCCTCATGAGAAGTGTCGGGGCCCAACTGTGAGGTGGTATAAATAGTGCTAAAAGATGGAGGCTGGTCAGAAAGCAAGTGTGGGCAGGATAAGGTAGAGCATAGCCTGCAGTGATTCACTGGGTGTGCAAAATGAGTGCAGTGTATACAACAAAAAGGTGAAGTGGGAGAAGCAACCAGAAGAAAGACTGAAGACACAATGATGAGAGGAAGGCAGGTGGAAAGTCCTGGGGTGCCCCGTGTGCCTGGATGATGATAATGATAAGTGCTATAAAAATAATCATTTACAGAAGTAGTAAAAGGGCTGAGCCAAGCTACAACTAAGCAAAAATAGTGAGGTGCCTTTTATTTAGAAACTTAATTGTTGAGAAATTTGTCCTGTCCCTTTACAAATCTCTTATGTTATAAAAGGTTGACAAAAAACTTTTTGATCATAAATGCCAGCCCTTGAAGGGTTTTTTGCCACTTTCCCCTTGAATTTGCATTGGCCTTAGTGCTCAACTGGCAGTCAATGAGGAGTGTCACTTTTGAAGCGGGCTGCATATTCTTCCTATTGAGTAGATCATGATGCTGTTCTGAGCAAGTTGCCCCAGAAAGGGGTGGGGGGGGGAGAAATCCTTTCATAAGGGTGACAGAAATAAAAGCGAGACAGAAACTTGTCCAACAGAACTGGGTATCAGTTACGGACATGAGGTACAGTAGAATCAGCCTGTCACAGTATGTTAAAAGCCAGCACAGAAAAGCCACCAAAACCCAAGTTCCAAACCTCCATTCATTCAAAATTATTCTCCCAATACCAGTATCAGTGTTAGTGAATACTGCAATGGGAATGATCTCATGATCTCTTATCGCTTCATGTTATGATCTTGTAACAGGACCATACCCCAGAAGTCACTGTGATGCCTCCTGGCCAAGAAGTTCCCACCCAATTCTGTGTCTGTGCTATCCTCCCTTTGCTTTTACCTGCTACGCCTTGGTGTTCTTAGTATTTGGAAAGGGAGGCTGCCCCAAGGCCAAGGCTTACTTTAAGGCCCATCTCCTGGCCAGTGGATCCCTCTTGGATCCTACTGATTCTAATCTATCCCTATGCCAGGTGGGCCCTCATGGCTCACACATGCCCCTTAGGACACCAGATGTCTTATGAGTTGTACATGGCCTCCAACCTCCCTTACAGCCATGTCTATGTCTCACAGGTGTTACCAGTCACTCAATGAGTAATCAGACCCAATCACTGCTCCAGTCCATTCAGGCCTCTTTGCCTTCTCTCATTCACTGCCCTCCCCCCTCTTCCCTCTCCCCCACCAGGACTCAGGCTTCTATGTCTTCATCAGCTTCTGCCCCTCCTGGGCTATGGACCCCTGACCCTAGTTCTCACTCCTTGATCTGTGGGGTCCCTGGCCCTATTTCTTCTTACCTCCTTTAGGCTATTGCTCCCTGGCCCCAGTTCTTGCCTCTCACCAGCCGCAGTTCTGCCTCTCTGGACTATGGGCCTGGCCTTGACCTCACTCAGGCTGCAGTTTCATCCCTGATGGGCACTGTAACCCACTGTCTGTCTCTCACTTCTTTAGTCTTATTCTCCCTGGTAGGAGCCTTTTCTGTGCCTTGGGCCCCAGCCCTTGGCAGGGTTCCCCAAAACAGTCATGTGACACTCTGGCTTTACTAGGACCTGCTAACTTCCCCTATCAGTCCCATTCAGCCCTCCAATTATAACTGTAATCAAAGTACAAGCACACTGGCTACCACACAGATTGTAAGCTTACTGGCTATATAAAGAACTATAAGCCTTTAATCCCTTATTTGTAGAAGATAGCTCCCAGGAAGTCTCTCAGCTATGGTTCCTTAAGTGCAGAGCTCCTTCTCTGGATAGTTTGCAGTGGTCAAGGGAAGCATCCCCAACCAGTCACACCTGTAGCACCCTTTCATAGCAGAGTCCATTCTCTGACTACCAGCAGGGCTGGACT